GTGTGTGTGTGTGTGTGTGTGTGTGTGTGTGTGTGTGTGTGTGATCACACCAGGAAACAAAAAAAGGTAAAACACTAGCTATGTTCACGTAGACATGAGTAATCGAATTAACATTCTGATCTGATTCAGCCTGATCAGAATTATTTCGTAATCTGAATGTATTCTGAATAAGAGCCTGGTGCATGCAAAGTCTCGTCATAATTGGATCAATTCATTTTGTGCCCATATAAATGACATATTCAGATTATTTTATCTGAATACATTTTAATCTGATCACAAAATTTTGCACATGTAAACATTGCTAATGTGTGTGAGATTTATGATCAGAKATATTTATGCTACCATATTATTGGCAATTCCTTCCGTACTCTACTACCTACTCAATATGGTGTCTTTTGGACTGTGCAGAATGGTTCAAATGGCTTGGGGTGCATTAGCAAATTAMACTCTGGAAATTGTCTGCAAGCATCAGCTGCTCTAAAATTAGATTGTCTGTTTCTTCTGTTATTCCCTTCTTCTTACGTTGTCTAACACTATCTCGTGAGTCGTGTGTATCAGTGTGAATGGCATGTGTGAGGACTAATTTTAGCGTGTCCTCTTGTGTTCACTAAGAGCTCGGGCACTTCGCAGTGAGTTGTACTTGGCAAAGGACGTGATTGTGGGAGAGGACGTGGTGGCTCTCATTACAGCAGTAAGCTGCTGCTTAGGTTTTTATTGACGTAATGGGACGTAAGATTGAGCTGAGTCCACGCTGCGAGCTGATATGCCAATGCTAAAAGCATAGATGAAGCCCCCCCAACACACACACACACACACTCTCTCTCTCTCTCTCTCCCTCTCACTGTCTGTCAGCATGGCCTCTCAGCTCTTGAAGCCATTAAATTTGCAGCAGTGAACTAGAAAGAGAGAGTGAGACAGAGCTGGCTGCCCGCTGGAGAAAACAGCACGCAGGGAGAAGCATTTGAAACATGTCAACAAAAGCTTTTCCCCTCCCGTCAATTGAAATGGTGAAGATAATATGGAGAGTTTGKCTGTAAATGCATTCAAACCTAATATGAGTGATGGCTTGACAGCTTAAAGGAAATCAAAAATCATTACATTCAGATCAGATTAAATATTGTAAAGGATTGGTAAATTGTGTTTTTTTTTCTCTTCCCATTGCCTATTGTTTTATAACAAGAAATTCTGATAAATTCTTGAAGCTGAGCACCCAAAGCACACAGTGAAGTGCTCGTTACAGAAGTCTGTCGGGCGATTTTTTGGGGGTTATTTCTGATGCCTTTGTAGTCCTGTCTTTTTCTTCACTTAATCCCACCCGCCCTCCTGCTTCTGTGTCCTCGTGTCTCCTCCAGGCCAGGGATGATATATTGAATGGCTCCCACCCTGTCTCCTTTGATAAAGCCTGCGAGTTTGCAGGGATCCAGGCTCAGATCCAGTTCGGACCCCACGTGGAGCACAAACACAAGCCTGGATTCTTGGAGTAAGTTATCTTGATTAAAAGGTACAGTTTCTGAATCTCAATGTTTGATGCTTTTTGAACAGTGGTTATCACTTCCTGCCTTCGGGATTCACTCCTGTGGGAAGGCTCAGGTTAATGTCAGCTGTTACAGATGTGTTTGATACATGGACACTAAAGCACAATTGACCTCACGYGTAGAGGTATGCTAATTGGAAAGGAAATGCCTGTAGCCTAAGCTAGTAACCATGTAAAACATCCCACTTATCTCTGTAGCCTGAAGGAGTTCCTGCCTAAGGAGTACATCAAACAGAGAGGGTCTGAGAAGAAAATATTCCAAGTATGTATATTACACTGGTCGGCTGTTGAATTTTTAAAGCATTCTGTGTTTTTGAAATTCTTTGCAGTCCAGCTTTTTTTTCCTGAGTAAACATGCAAATTGGCTTAACGTGCACAGAATTCACACCAAAGCATTTCAAAATGCTGAGAAATATTGAGTTGCAACTGTCTTTTTTTTTTTGTCCAGGAGCATAAAAACTGTGGAGAAATGACAGAGATTGAGGCAAAAGTGAAGTATGTGAAGCTTGCTAGGTCTCTTCCAACGTACGGAGTGTCTTTCTTCCTGGTGAAGGTAAGAATTAAAAACAAGCTGATTCACTCCATTAAAGGGATAGTTTGAACTGTTTGAAGTGGGGCTCCGTAGAAAAGGTGGAAATACTTTACTGGCTTTAAACAATTCTTCTATTAAAGCTGCAGTAGGTAATGTTTAGAGAAATTGATTTTTTTTTTGTATTTGTTAAAACTGTCATTATGTCCTGACAGGTGAATATAAATCAGGTAATCCAGTGGTTAKACAGCCATTTGCAGAATTACATGTTGTAATGCAGCAGAGAGCAAGGGGGCCTGTAAGATGTGCTTGTTAAGATTTTCTGTCCCATTTCCTTAAAATTATCCAACTGCAGCTTTGACCTCAATTTGGAGGAAAAGATCAATTCTGACTGTACTGATGAAATTAAGGCTGATCCATGCAGGGTCGAGATCAAAATGGCTCACTACCATCTTATAACAAATCAAATCTCAAAAGTTTTATAACGATTTACGAAAATACACATTTTAACCTTCACAATGCTTTAAACTATGTGTCAAACTCAAGGCCACCAGGCCAAATCTGGCCCTCCTTAGCATATTTCCCAGCCCCAAAAGAAATACTTGTACTGTAAAAACAGTTTGATGGTTTCTCTTACAGTCACTGTATTTAGTGCATCGTTGTTTCTTTAGCAAGTCCTACCATCATCAACAGGTAAGATACTGACTGCACAAAACCTTTTCACAGAACCCCACTTAAAATATCTTACCCTTTAAGGTAAATGATTTTTTTTAAAAATCATGCTTACACATTTATTATTTTGCRTTAGTGTAACTCATGACATGTAATTGTAAAATAATAACGTGTTCAGTTAGCAAATACASGATTAAGACTTGAATGTAAATGTAAGAAACAAAGCAATGCAATACCCAGTGGCCGGGCAAAAGCCACAACCATTTATTTTTGTGTTAGGTCTGGCTAAGAACCAGGAAATGCAATACTATTTAACAGCAAGCTTCAGGATCTGATCTCTCCCTCTGAATGTTGGGGGGGTGTCTAATCCCATACTCCGTGATCAGATCCTCATTGACAAGTAATAAATTAATTGTACAGGCTTCTTGTATCTGTAAACAGTCATGTGATGGTATTGTTGTAGTGATTGGCAGTTCTGACTCAAAAGCTGCTGTGATACCCACTGTGATGGACTGTGCTGTCAAACAGGTATGAGAGCTTGTTTGAAGCACCAAAAGGCCTGTTATCACAGCAAATCAAGAGCGTTCTGAGTGGAAGCTCATGACAGTATAGCAGCTTTTTTTTTCTGTTCCGGTTTGGCGACACAAAAGTGGAATTGGAAAGTGAACGAGATAAAGATGCACAACCGAGCGTTATAAAAGCTTCCCGACAGCAGACTGTTTGGCTACGAACTTGCAGAAAATTGTGGGGGAGATGAGGAAGAGTGTAGCTGTCTGCGGGGGTCTTAATGGATGATAAATGGAGTGCTTGGCCTCGTAGTTAAAGCACACCGCCAGGTTCAAATTATCTTTGTGTGCAGTTTCTTTTTGGAAACTCATGAGTGCAAGCACAGACTGTGTTCAAAGAGGGAGATGTAGTGATGGAGATTTCAAGACTCTGCTAAATAATTCACTTCCGCTGCACTCTGCTCTCAGTGTTTGCAAAGGAAAAATCGACAACGTGGCACCGTTGAGGGATCTTTTTTTGTAACCTTCCATTTCTCATTTGTCAGTCTTTAATCACAGTATTTTCGGGGAGGATGCAGAGCGGCATAATAAGCTTAAACATAGGTTTGCTGCAGTCAAGTGTGCAGGTGCTTCAGCTGATTCTTTTTGGGGTTTTTTTTTTTGTTTGTTTGTTTGTTTTTCTTAAGCACATTTACCCTGAAATRTTTAAGGCTAACAATATGAAGTGGTATAATAAATCAGCTTTCCACTTCAAATTAGAAAAAGACACTTCTTGCTCGAACGCAGCCTTGAAAACCATGATGTTCAAATAATGTAACCTAAAACAATAAATGTTTGCACAAAAGAGGTCATGAAAATTGAAACAGTGTTATCTGTCCTTGGGTGTAAGAGAGCTTAGAATAAAACCGTTCCCCTGGTTTTCACACTATTGTCTTAAAAATCAGCAATGACCCCCGTGATAAAGAAAAACAAAAGCTCTGAGACGTTGCATTAATAAAGTTTTGACCTCCTCGCTGCTACACACCACTAATTTTCCCTCTGTCCTTCCCACCCCTGGAGGGTTGCCAAGCTCGGGCTTGGTGTCTGAAGTGAGCTGTAATAGATTTTCAGTGGGCAGCAGAGCTGGTGGAAGCACCACGCTGCTGTGCCGACAGTGACTCACGCCTGTGGAGACCCCTGTTCAATAAAGCAGCGGTTAAACAAGCCTGAGCTCATTGGGTCACTTCACAGCTGCTCTTCTCTTTAGCCGTTTGGGGCTTTGAGCCACACCGACAACATTTATGTTCCAGGTGCCGAGGAGCCTCGTAACTTATAACGCTAGTGCTGTGTAAAAAGTAAATGAAAACACAACTGAATGATTCGGTCAAACTTTTTAACGCGTATTTCATCTACAATGTATTGTGCCCTTTTTTAAGTAATTTTGTATTTGATGGCAGCAATGCTTCTCAAAAAAAGAGGGGCAACAAAACACAGCATCCAAAATCTGAAGGCTACATTAAAATCCAAGATGGCTGCCATAGCTAAAATGCAAACTTGTCCATAACTCAGTCATTTTTAGACATATTTGTCTCAAATTTGGGATGGTAGTAGATCACAGTGATCTCCAACAAACAGGAAATTCAAATCTTTATTTAAATTTGATGGCACGTGGCAAGCCCTTTCATAGTTGTTAACGATACGCGGTGTCTCAACTTTTCTGGGAATTGGGGCTGCGCTTCTTACACCTCGCAGGAATCGCCTGTGTTTAGCACCAACTCAGACTTTATCTGATGTTTGTCCTTTGTTTGATTTCCCCCAACAGGAAAAGATGAAAGGTAAAAATAAGCTGGTCCCAAGGCTTCTAGGGATAACCAAAGAGTCGGTGATGCGAGTTGACGAGAAGACGAAGGACGTGGTGCAGGAATGGCCCCTAACGACTGTCAAGAGATGGGCGGCCTCACCCAAGAGCTTCACCTTGGTATGGCGCGGCCGATGCCCTGCTCCGTTTTTTAAGCATGCATTCATATGCACGGCATGACTCCAGTTTCATTTCCCAACACACAGTCCCTTTAAAAATGTTGAGGCTTCACACTGGAATATTGAGCATTTTCAGCATGCTAGCCAGCTACTTTATCTGAGTTAACAATAGACTCCAGGGGGAGAATGTGCAGAATTTAGATGTATTATTTATCTGAGAGCTTTTTTCCCTTTTTTTCCCCCCCTAAAGCTGTTGGCTGTTTTCTTCTCATACTGGAAAGGGTTATTCCGTTTAAAGATTAATAGATCGTGAAAATTTTGCTACGATTTCCCTAGGTATATTTGCCATCATTGATTTAAAAAAATTTTTTATTAAAAGTATTAATAATACTCTTGTGTTTCCACAAAACACTTTGAAGTAAGCAGTTCTCAGATTCACTACGTTTCAGATGCAATCAGCTCTTTAGAAAAATGGGACACTCCAAAATAGCCATTTTTTTCCTTAAGAGCTGAAATRATGAAAGCGCTGCCAAATGTATTCTGTCCCTCACCCCCCAAGTGATGCATTTGTCTGTCTGTGCACACATTTCCCCACTCCTTCTAATACATACAGATTATGTTTTCATCTCAGCAGATATGCTGTAGCTTAAAGAACCTTGTTTCTGATGCATTTTAAAGGATTTTGGCGAGTACCAGGAAAGTTACTACTCTGTTCAGACTACAGAGGGAGAACAGATATCCCAATTGATCGCTGGGTATATTGACATCATTCTTAAAAAGGCAAGTGCAACTAAAAAAAAAAGCATCCTTGAGTTAACACAGTCATCTGGTTTTCTGTACAAGTACAAATCAATGCTTGCTGTGATGTCCCACCTGCTTTCAGAAGCAGAGTAAAGATCGTTTTGGCCTTGAGGGGGACGAAGAGGCCACCATGCTGGAGGAATCTGTTTCCCCTAAAAAGTAAGTAGTGTTTATGTACTGTCTGCTGGAACAACCCAAAAAGTGCTGACCACTTTCATTTATGAGCACAGTCTGGTGGTTCTTGAAGCATTTTGAACCTTAATGTTTAATTATCCATGTAATCACATTTGTGCCAGTTCAGTGTAGTTCTTAAACAAGAGAGTTAGGTTCAAATAAAGCAGACAAACAGTTCTTTTAATGTTTAGGTTTATAAAATGTCATTTGTTAAAGCGAATCCTATGAAATTTTTGCTCGCTTTAGGGTAGCACCGTAGAATTGYAGTCCTGCTTAGAATAACTTAAGATATCACACAGGTTAAAATATCAGCTATTAGTGTTCTCGTATTTACTGCCATCAAAGGTGAATGAGCGAGMATTTTTCTGTTAGCAAAAWATTTCACAAACCACTTGATAAATTTCAAYGAAACTCTCAGAAATGAATTTCTGCATTTACATCGGCAACTGATTACTTTTGGTGTCAGTTCAGTTTATGATGGCTTCCACAGCTTAGCAACCTTAGCATACACAAAAATGTCTATAACTTAGTCTGTTTTACAGATACTAATATAAAATCTGGTGTGGAARTAACTGAGAGAAATTCACAGCAGATGCTTTGAGCATTAAACTATTGTGTGAGACCTTTGTTGAAAACTTTRCCATTAACTATTGGAGGTGTCCTTTTCCATCTKTTAGCAAAATATTTCATAAAMAAAYAGACCGATTTAAATGAAACTTTCAGAACGTAGTCATTGGGTGTTCATCTACAACTGATTATTTTTTGTAATCCATATAGACATCCTCTCCACTCGTGTTTGCTTGTGCAACTTCAGTGCTTCTCTTATCCTGTTCTCATGGCTCAGGGCCTTTCACCTGAGCTGCAGATAGAAAAATAACTATGCAGAAGGTGAGGAATTGACATGGGACCTTAGTAATTGATCAAAATTTGATATTCTTGCTTCAGAGGTTCCATCAAGTTCAGCTTGTGGTACAGTTATAAATTTCTCTAACGCGTTTGTGTCGAGAACTAAACGTTTAATTTGAAGCAATGCGGAAAAATTTTTTATTTTTTGGATGTGATGGATTCTAAAAATGCTTCTCAAAAATGAACTTCTTTCTCCTCACTCCTCATGAACTCACACACACACACACATACACACACACGCATACACACACACACACAAAGAGAAAATATTTAGGATCTTTCCTGAAATTGATTTTAGGGGGTTGCAGGCATGAGGATGAGAAAGAACGGAGACACAGAAGTTTGCTGGAGTGTGAAAGCAGTGCTGCACTTGAAACACATCTCTACAGCACAATTGATTCCGTGGCTCCTCGGTGTCCAACRCTACCAAAGTGTGAACGAGAGACAGAGTTTGGAAATATGTTTTCACAGGAAATCCTCATCTATTTTTAAAGTATTTTCTGTCAAACCAGGGCTGGGTATTATGCCACTTATTTGGGGGGGGGGGGGGGGGTCGACTCGTGTTGTGGACCTCATTTCAAAAACATAATTGCTGCTTCTCTAAACAAGCTGTAATTAACCATTAGTCAGAAGCATCTRTTGGGTATAAAAAACACATTTTTCTGTGCTGTGTTTGCTCTAAGGTCTGCTCACTGTGGGTGCTTAAAATTTATTATATGGTAATTATCAATTTGTAATTTTTTGCAATCAAAATTAATTAAGCACATGTTATGAAATTGTTTATTTTTTAACCATAATTTATGATTTTGCTATCTTAATCATGATTCTGCTTGTAAAAAATGGAGGCAACAAACACACCAATGTGTCAGTTTGTGATTTGTTAAAACCATAAGGTGTAAAACAAAATGATCAAGACATGCTAACCATTGTTTAGGTTAAATTACATAAATTAAAAGTAAAATGAGTCACCATCCCTGAATATTTCCATCTGTATTCCCTACACATCTGCATGTGTCAGGCGTGTACATGGAAAATGGGGCTCTAAAACAATAAAAAAAACAGCTTTAAAATAACTAACTTTATCTCTCACTTCTATTTATGTGCCTTCAATATTAGATCCACAATCTTGCAGCAGCAGTTCAACAGGGTAGGCCGTGTGGAGCATGGGTCAGTGGCCCTTCCTGGTATCATCCGATCCGGCTCTGTTGGTGGCCCCGACACATTCAATCTGGGCTCCATGCCCTCTGCCCAGCAGCAAATCACCACCGGGCAGATGCACAGAGGACACATGCCTCCCCTGGTGAGTGGGATTCTGTTTATCTGAAATATAAAAAAAGATGAAACAATGCAATGTTTTGTTTATGCCTATTATTTTAGAATTTAAAGCACTAAAACACAATAATAAAAAGCAATATTCTCATGTTTTATTGCGAAGTTTAAATTGTTCTTTACTGCCGCTGCGACTGCAAAATAAACCGCAGTAAACTTCAGCATGGTAACTCATTTGTCTAATGTGGTTTGTGGAAATGTCACAACAAGTTTGACAACTCTCTATTCAGGCCGCTTCTGTTTATCCCTGCGTGTGTGTCACTGTTGTTTGCTGTCGACAGAGCCTGGCCCAGCAGGCTTTAATGGGAACCATCAATAGTAGCATGAAAGCTGTGCAGCAGGCCCAGTCTGACCTGGGACACGTAGACAATCTGCCTCCACTAGGACACGACTTGGTGAGTGTTGCAGAATTTTACAAGTAGTATCATGATGGATCCAAAATGTTTAAAAAGCCTGGAGAAATAACATTTTCTGTGAAAATGCAGTGTGAGTGATAAGTGCTGAATGGTGAAGAATCTAAAACAGAGTTGTTAAAGCTAAAGAAAAGCTGATTGCACGCTAAAAAACAAAAAGGAGCAAACCATTAACTAAACCTTGAAGTAGCAAAACACTAGGAAAGTAGCTAAAGTATAAAAGTAGCTAAAAATTAAAGATACTATAAAAAGACAAAAATGGTGCACGCATGCTGGAAGCAGTTTTAAACAAGATGTCACATCTTTTTGAAGGAATCGAAACGATCTATTACTCAGGAGAGAAGATTTGTAAATAAAATAGAACTATTTTGAAAAGTATAAATGTACAAAATGTCATACCCGACTTCTGAAGGAGATAAACAATTTGATGTATGAACAGAACAAAAACACAAAGAAAGCAGAACGAGTTTGATTGTAACAAAAAAAAATAAATGTGACTATAAAAAATACAGGAAACCAATAGTATGATTGCTGAATTGGAATCTACACAGTTAGACATACACCCACAATCACAGCCATAGGTTTGTTAACTAGCCTAGTCCTTTGATCACGAGTCAATATGAGATGTAAATCTCCCACTGTGATGAATCCTAAAAAAAACTCTTGTTTTCCTCCTCCAAAAGGCATCCAGGGTTTGGGTTCAGAACAAAGTGGATGAGTCCAAACATGAAATCCACTCTCAGGTTGATGCCATCACTGCTGGAACGGCTTCTGTGGTCAATCTCACAGCGGGTGAGTCCCCAGGAAAATGCTGAACAGCTTGAAGATGACACAAACTTGTCACTTTCAGTTTCATTTCAACGGCTGAATTCAGGTTTATGAAGTTTGTTCGGAGTGCACGACTTAATAAAGGTTTTTATTTCTTTGATCTATTTCTACTGAATGTTTGTCTCAGGTACTGTATGTGTTCCACCAAGCTTTAATCTAAACTTGCCATCTGTGAGTTTCACTTAAGACCCCTCCACTATCTAATTCAAAGTTGGTTTTTTATGTCTTTTTCTTCACGGCTACTTGCTCCGTCAATGCCCTCAGCTCTATGGAGCCATTTCAAATAGGCTCTAATTATGACACTGATGTGCATGTTAAAGGGAATGACACACAAGCTGCCCTGTGGCTTTGCTAAATCAATGCTGCAGCAGTTTGGTGAATTAAGATGCACAGCAGAGATGCAAAGGTTGATGTAGTTTGCTATGACAGCTGCCTCTCCTCTTCAGGTGAGCCAACGGAGACCGACTACACAGCGGTGGGCTGCGCCATCACCACAATCTCCTCCAACCTCACGGAAATGTCTAGGGGAGTCAAGCTCCTGGCCGCATTAATGGACGACGAGGTGGGAAGTGGACACAAGTTGATGGGCGCTGCCAGGATGCTGGCAGGAGCCGTGTCAGATCTGCTCAGATCTGTTGAGCCTGCAGCCGCTGAGGTGAGATCCCTACTGATTGCTTTGGATATTTTTTTCTATTTTTTTTTTCTTTTCAGTATTGTTTTGGATTTTATCCCCAACTTTATTTCCTACAAATCCAAAAAAAAGGTTGAGTTTCTTTTTAAAGGGATCCACGATTAGTTGTAACATTAAACTTTATTTGATAAACATTTATTTTAACTGTAAAATAAATACTGTAAAAATACTGTAGGCTGTTTAGTTTTGTAAATTTTTAAAWATATATTTTAACACGGACGGAGCCATTTTATTTACACGCAAAGCATTCTGGGTAAATGATKACATCAACTAGGTCATTGGTGCGAGGAGCTAAATCCACCCTGAAGGTTAATCTTGGATAATATCTGATGATTGACTCTKTTAAATGAAACCAGAGAGCRCTGACAGAGAGGAGAAGGTAGAAATGACTCAGCCTGTAACTGAAAATATAGATGGAGGACAACAGAGCTGCTTCATGGAAGAAGAACCTCAGCTTAACCTGTTAGCCTTCGCGCTAGCCCTCATGTTATATTGCCTTATATGTATTAGCTCGGCGCTAGCGAGACAAACTAGCTAAACTGAGGTCTTCCATCCTTATTGTCAGTTGCAGACTGTCATTTTTGCGTTCCCCTCTCTGTCATGTGGATGGAGGACCTCAGTGACAAGAGGAGAATGTGTAGTGCTGAGCTAATATGGTGATAGTGTCGGGGCTAACGCTAAAGCTAACAGGCTAAGCTGAGGTTTTCTTCCATGAAGCAGCTCTGTTGTCCATCCATATTTTCAGTTACAGTCATTTCTATCTTCTCCTCTCTGTCAACGCTCTCTGATTTCACTTTAAAGAGCCAATGATCAGATATTGTCCAAGATTAACCTTCAGGGTGGATATAGCTCGCTAGCAGCCTCATGCCGATGACCTAGTTTATGTCATCATTTACCCAGAATGCTTTGCGTGTAACTAAAATGGCCCCATCCGTGTAATATATTTTTAAACTTTTAGTTTRAAAATTATAAAAACTGAACATCCTACAGTATTTTTACAGTCTTTAGTTTACAGTTAAAGTATATGTTTATCATATAAAGTCTAATGTTACAACTAATCGGGGATCCCTTTAACAACGCCACAGTGAAGATGCATTACAGAGTTTTTATTTTTCTGATCCTGTTTTAGATTATTTTTGGAAGGTCGGTGCGAGAACAGGCCAGGCTTGGTGTAATGAATGTGCTGATGTCATCTCTTTGCAGCCCAGACAGACGGTGCTGACTGCAGCAGGAAGCATCGGACAAGCCAGCGGGGACCTGCTCCGTCACATGGGGGAGGGCGAGACTGACGAGAAGTTCCAGGTTGGACGCAGTCCTCTCATTGTTTCTATGACAGTGTCAGCCAGACAGGAAGTTCCACACAGGCCTATACTCCCAGGCCTCTCGTAAAAATGTCGATACACACTTATGTAATTACCCCAGGCTTTGTTATTAGCTTGACACTTTAGGTGGGTTTGTAACAGAGCATCAAAGAGAAGAGGGAAACATGAGTACAGTGTTTAAGACCTCTGTTTTAGCTGCTTTCACTGTCTGCTTCTTTTATTCTCCGGCATTGAAATTTTTTTACGTGCCATGTTCACCTCAGTTTATTCATCCTCTCACATCTCGCCTACCTTTTCTTTTTATTGGTAATTGCTTTAAAGAGAGCTCGTGCATCATCTACATCCTTGGTTTCATTGATGTTAAGCTAGAATTCTTCAACTGCATTAACATGCTGCAATTCATTTTCTGCACCTAATAATTTTCTCCCATCACAGAGCTTAGAGGGGAATTCAAAATGCCCCCAGTCCGTAAGATTTTAAGAAAACCTAACTTATTTTAAGATGACTTAAAAATTAAGTAATGTTCTGACTTTTATTTTGGTGTGTGACTGTACCTAGGAATTAGAAATATCACCATTGAAAATTGGGTTGATACGTCAAAATTCAAGATGGCCACGAGCACAAATACATTTGAGGAAACTATACTTTCTAGTTTTTATTTTGCTTGAAAGTATAGTTTCCTCAAATGATCAGGGTGGGCAAAGATTAAACTATGGTGGGCACGCCATTGTAGGCCATGCCATGTCTCTGCCATTGCGTCTGCTTGCTCCTCTCGCCAAAATCGGTCACTTTGTGCCACCTTGGACAAGTAAACTAAAACCTACCTCTGACCTTATACACAGTGTAACTCCTATTTGAATATCTTGTTCCACAACATTTAGTTTTATTTGCATTCCCTGTTCTATCCCAGTCCAGAAAAACACTCAAAAATGTCAAACATTCACTATTCAAATCCCTCAGTGATGGAGGGACATCAGTGTACTGCTTGTATAGATTAGATTCATCATTCAACATTCTTTTTCTTTTTTTTATCTGTTTGATGTTTTTTGTAAGAGAGCCATAGTTGAGCGCAGTAGATGCACTGTAATCCCGGTAAACCAGCTGAACAAAAGGGATTGAAAACATTTACTCTCCTGGTCCCCTTAGTTGCATGTACACAGCTGTGCTTGGTTTCAGTGAAGGACACTGATTAATATGTTGCAGGACACCCTGATGAATCTGGCCAAAGCCGTAGCCAATGCAGCTGCCATGTTGGTCCTGAAGGCCAAGAATGTGGCCCAGGTGGCCGAGGACACCGTGCTGCAGAACCGTGTGATTGCAGCTGCCACTCAGTGCGCCCTGTCCACCTCACAACTGGTCGCCTGCACCAAGGTACCGATCCACAGTTTGGTCCACTCCAAACAAAGGARTGTACCGGTAGTTTAAATTTATTATTTGTTATCACCCGCTCCCATTATAGGGAGGTAAACAAGTGTATGCCTTTGTCTGTGTGTATGTTCATTTTTGTGTTTGTTGGCTAATGAAACACATGGAAAGTAATCAGTAAATGTACATGTACATGCTAGGTTTTTGGAGTCAATCAGATTTAAGATGTCTACTACAGTAAACATATATTAACAAACACAGAAAGGGCTATAACTCTGTCTAAAATATAGATTTTGAGCTAAAAATGTGTATGATAGTAGCTGTCATTACTAGTGGTGACCTGATACCAGCATTTTTACAAGTACTCACACTCATACCAATTTTTACCCCAATATCTGAAAACGATACCAGTATCTGTATTGATATTTCACTCATTGTGTCACAGTTTACATTTCAAGTGGATAATTTATCTGTTTCATGTTTAAGAAAGTTATACAACATGGGCTGTGTAAGGAGAGCCACCTTGTTCTAAATAAAAGAAATGAGTATTTAAAACCATTGTGTAATTAACTCAGTAAGTACTATGTATCAGCAAGTACCCAAGCTGAAGTACTGAAAAAAAACTGGTATCGGGACAACTTTAGTCATTACCATCCCAAATCCCAAGCACGAACAGAACATGTAAGATCTTTATGCAGAAATTTGCTGTGCATTAGGCAAATGAGGTTGTAGGGGTTAACCTACTCTTCTCATAACAAAAGTTATAAGGAAATTCATGGGTTCTTCTGTTTAAGGAAAAACACCTTCTCTGTGTAAATATGAGAGAAACCACCCACAATAAGTGAACGTACKCAGGAATTTAAGTTGATCTAAAATTAATGATTTTTATTTACAGAATCAAATAAATTACTAATGTACTGCTTGTTGTGGTTTCAAATTTTGTTGTGAGTTAAAACATCAACAAAAACAGGTATGCGTCCGCACTAATTAATGTCGAAATGACAACTCTAACAGAAACGGCAGAACTTCAGGTTTAAGGTCTTAATAAACCAAATGTTTGCAGGTACATGAAACTTACATGGCAAGGTTTAAGTTTAAGAGATAGAAAGAAAGGAGGAGGTTAGCCCTAACTTTTTATCTTATCAAAACGAGAGAAAACCAGAACGAACACTTGGGCCTCAGCCGACGCGTCAGCCCGAACTCCGGTACACTAGTCAAAACATTCAGCTTTTACCTGGAGGTGTCTTGACCATCAGGTTAAGCTATAGGAAGAATTCACCCAGGTTGGTAAGAAACTCTGGTCAGGGTCCTTACTTCCAGTAACTTCCAAAGGTTTGATTTTCAGCGTCTCCGAAGATCTGTTTTTGTCCGAAGGAGAGAGTCAGATCCAATTCGGCTTTCTCTTTAAAATAAAAGACTTCTCATCAGAAGTTTTAAAACAAAATTAAATGGAGCTTCAAAGCTGGTTGTTTTGGATCACGATTGAAGGTATCGTRAGCCGAGGCAAGAGATTTGCTCTGGTATTTGCTCCTACAATGTGCATGTGTTGTGTTATTCTCACATTACATGTAATTCTTCAAAAGACATGAAGTGTTTGATCTATCTGAATTACTGATGACCTTTTTGTGTCAGGTGGTGAGTCCAACCATCAGCTCCCCGGTGTGTCAGGAGCAGCTGGTCGAGGCCGGCAAACTGGTGGACCGATCTGTCGAGACCTGTGTGAAAGCCTGCCGCTCGGCCAGCGACGACGGCGAGCTCCTGAAGCAAGTGGCCACGGCAGCCGGCGTGGTGAGCCAGGCCCTCGGCGACCTGCTGCAGCACGTCCGCCACTACGCCAGCTGTGGGGAGCCCATCGGACGCTACGACCAAGCCACGGACACCATCATGAACGTGACCGAAAACATTTTCTCTTCCATGGGCGATGCTGGTGAGCTGTGAAGGAGTCGCCAAAGCCAATGAGCTGATTGCTGTGGAATGCTTGCTTTAAGTTGACCTGTTTGTGATGTGTTTTGACTGCATCAGGCTGCCTCACATATGTATTAACTGCATTTATCTTCACGTTAAACAATCTTAAAAGTCCTCCATGCATATTTGAAGCTCAGGTTGGTTGTTTTGATTTGAGTCATGAGGCTGAAGTATTTTTCAAAGCGAGTCATTTCCCAGGGGGTCGCCAGAGACATGTCATCCAAAACCACTACAGAGTTCCTGGTCTGGTCTCAATCAGCATCAGGGAGCCTTTGAAATTTAACAGGAAACATATGACATGGGAATTTTTTTAGGAACACAAACCATTTTTTCTTCAATAAATTCTCATTAGAACAAAGGCAAACTGTAGAATTACCAGATAAGCATTCAGTGCTGAAAGGACTGGCTCGATCCCAAAGATGTCGGATGTAGGGTTGTAGAAGTCTTCCATTAACTTACTCTGTGGGTTATTTAAAGCTTGAGGTGGGAGTTACGGAGCGCAGCTTTTTATAGCAGATGTGTGGGGAGGTGTTACATATATTCCAATGATTTTTATGTCTGTGAGAGAGGGGTGAGTCATCGGAAATCTTAAGCTAAAAGAGGAGATAAAGGTGAACATAATGTGAATCCACAGGATGAGGAAACTTAGGGGGATTTCTCACTGAATGAACAAGAAAATGATGTTATATAAGAACTAATTTAGTTGAAAGATGTACAGACTTTTACTATTTTCAATGAGATTTTAGAAATCTTGTTGTATTTCTAGTTGCATTAGTGTTAATAGTAGGGCTAGATTTCAAAAGGGAGATATTTTGTACAAACTAGATAAATTAAGTCCTGTTCACAATGATACTCAGAAATATAACACTTGACAAGTCAAAAGTCTGAACAAACATTTTCATTGAAAATGAATGAATAGGTGTTTAAATGGTGCTTTTTGATCTGTGTGTCGACATTATGAAGTGTTAAGAGAAGTGAAACTATTAAGGTGCAGCCACACCAATCAGTCACTGTTCGGATTCAGATTTGTGCTGCATTTAGCTTGAGTTTCCTTAAGAATACTGACATGGCTAATGAGTGATCTGATGTGTAAACACCTCTTTTAAACGGTTGAGGTTATCTAGATTACAAACATAATATCTAACTCAAATAATCAAAATCTGTTTTGCGTCATAAACTGATCCTCAGCTTGAAAATGAACTTTCCCAATTTGCTGGCATTTGATCTGATCCCTCCAGCAGCTTCATCAGGGCTGTGTGGATTTCCATGCTGATTTGTGGCTGTGTATATGAACAGGAGAGATGGTGCGGCAGGCTCGGGTGTTGGCCCAAGCCACCTCGGATTTAGTCAATGCCATGAGGTCGGATGCAGAGGCAGAGGTTGATGTTGACAACTCAAAGAAACTTCTCGCTGCAGCCAAACTCCTGGCTGATGCCACGGCTCGGATGGTGGAGGCTGCTAAGGTGATCGACTTTTACTAAAGAGCTGTTATGTTTTGTTTATTACTTTATTGTCATATGGGGCACCAAGTGTAAAATAAAATGATAAAAAATGTTACTAACACATTTTCATTATTTAGCTCACTTTGAGTGTGTCTTATTATGATGTCATCATCCTGAGACAATAACAACCGCAAACTCTGCTAACGCTGCTAATGCAGCTACACTTCCCTGCAACACATAAAACTTGCAGTTGCGGCCGGTGTCCGAGCTGCACTCCAAATTGCCGGACCACAGGTACCATTTATATTATTTAAATGATCACATTTTCAATTAGAATATTTAATGACATCTTCGGCAGTGTTAGCAGCGTTAGAAAGCAACCACTTTTGTTAGCAGCGGTTGCTTTTGTCTCAGGATGGTGAAATCGGAAGAGCCACGTACGACTGCATTCCATTGCGAAACACTAAAATGTAAACTTCAACATTTAGCCACAACATTTAAGATTTAACTTTTACATGTTGGTTTTACACTTTTAGATTTAGGATTTAATAGTTATTTATTATGTAACATTTTTATTTAACATTTRGAAAAAAATAAGCAAAATGTACAAACTGGGAGCTAAATAATTAAATGTTAGTGGAAAATCTTTAACTAGAATTTTACACTTAGAAAGTGAGCTAAATAATGAAAATGTGTTAGTGACATTTTTTTTATTTTATTTTACACTTGGCACCCCATATTGTCATTATTTTAACCTCTGTTTTTTTTCTGAAATTAAGTTCAGTCTCTAAATATGGCATGGTTATGTATGAGTTATGGTTAAAGATCATAACTTAATTATTTCCCTTTGGTTTAAAAGAAAAACAAGTCTTTGCAACAGTGAATAACGTTTCTTTTTAAAACCCAAGTTCAAAGTAGGCAGTGGCGGTGGCTTTTAATGAGCCCTTGGTAATGTTGAGCCAGAATATTATCAGTGTGAAATACCCATGCAAGTGAAACACGGGTGTATAGCTCGTTAGGATGCGTTTGATCTGTGACACATTAATCATCACATCACTGCCATTATCAAAGAGGAAGTGAGGATCTGACAGTTTCCATGGCAACTGTCTGATAGCAGAGTTAAATGCCTCTTTGCATCGATCCCTTTTAAATGTACAATATGAGCAGAGTTGATCAACTTTCATTGCAAGGATCCGGTAGCTATTGTTCACTTCTGGATCAACAGTGTGCGTCATGGCTGTGTGTGTTTGCACATTTGCACATGTATGCATGAATGTGTGGTTTTTCTCCCCTCAGGGGGCAGCTGCCTACCCGGAGAATGAGGACCAGCAGCAGAGACTCAGGGAGGCAGCTGAGGGGCTACGTGTTGCCACTAATGCTGCAGCTCAAAACGCCATAAAGAAAAAACTAGTCACTCGGCTTGAGGTGAGTCAGCGGAGGAAACGTGTTCTCATCATTCAACCTTTAACCAGGCTTTAAATCCTCGCTTCGCCTTGCTGTAGATACAAAGACTTTTTTTATATAAACACCAAAGATGATCACAAATAAATAAATGCCTTGCATTTGTTTTTACGAGTGTAAACCATTTTTTTAAAAATATGCATATGCTTTTTCTTCCTTCACCACGACACTGAGCTATAAATCCCATTAATGCTCTGAATGAACTRTCTTTGTAAAGATCTGTGTTTAGCCCTCAGTATCAGTTTGTCCCTAATGACTACCACCTCTCTGCTCTGGAGCACCCAATGTTCAATTTCCCAGGCACATAAACTATTCATTACCCGAGGGCTGGGATAAGTCTGCTATCAGACATGCATCTCAGCCTGCCTACTTGCATCAGATGGTCTCAGTAATGGTGCTAATGGTCGCCTCCATCACAGCAGCTTGTAAGCCAGTCAAGAAGAATGTTATTAATCTCCGAGTGTGCTTGTAACAATTACCTCACAAACAATTCMGACCTCTTCATTTTGGAGCGTCAAGACAAAGTAAATGACTCAGTGGTTGAGCATGTATGCATTTTCTTTTTTTTTATGTGCATTCTGTAAATAATGTTACSCAGAATATTTATACAGTATAAGTACCAAATCCTTCCTTAAAGCGACAGACGGACTATTGGAAGTGGGGATCTGTGCAAATGTTCTACACAATATCTTTAAAAGGGGTGGGRCATATTATGCAAAACCGACTATTTTAAGCTTTATATCATGCTACAACCCTCACAAAAAAACATTCCCAGAGTTTAGTTTTGACTAATTCATGCATGTTGGAGAAATCCTTGAATCTCCTGTAATAGCCATTCAGAGTTTCCTAAACATTTGCTGGTACAAAGCCCCGCCTATTTACACAAAGCTCCTCCCTGGAGCTCAGTCCCCAGCCGAGCCCCCGCTCCACAGAGCACCCTTCTTCAGAAGCATTGTTGTGAAGACGTGCTGAAGTGGGAGTGTCAGAAATGGCTGGAGGTTCTTAAAGAGACTGAGGCTAATTTCAAGGCATTTAGATGCAAAGTCAAATTTATCTTTGATACATACAGCATTTTCATAACAACTGAAGTAAAATAATTACCTGATTGTGGTATTGAATTGAACTATGTACCTGAAAAATACAAAATCCCTCACCTTTTTAAGCAGCATCAGTATGGAGAAATTGTTTAATTCTGACCAGATTGTTGGGCTAATAGCTAGTCTGAGTGGAGCTAAAACCATAGTTGATTGCTGCTGTCAGCAACTCTAATCTCAATAATGTCTTAGTAATTTGATTCTTCTTTACAAATTTTAATTTGATGTCTCTTTTTTTATAATTATTTACATAAAAGGATCTGGTTCCACTGAAGGTCAGGCAGGCCCCAACTCTTCCTGTTTTTTAAAACTTGCTTAAAAACACATTTCTTCTCTTTGGCTTTTAACCCAGAGTGATTTAGCATCTGTGTTTTAATACTGTACTCTTTTTCTGGTATCTGTGATTTTTGTACTGTTTTATTTTTTGTGTTTTATTTTATATATTTTTACAGCACTTCGGTCAACTGCTATGTTGTTTTTTAAGTGCTTTAGAAATAAAATGGTATGGTATGGTATGGTATGGTACGGTACGGTACGGTACGGTACGGTACGGTACGGTACAGTATGGTATGGTATGGT